ATTTACATGAAAAGGTCAAGGTCTCTAGCTGAGTCAGAGTCTCACAGAGCAGAAGCTATTGAAGACTGCATTGAGTTCTTGAACTCTTCTTCTTCCCTGTCTCGATCAAACTCTGTCTCAACGTGGTCTTCTTGATTTGACCCGGTTCGGATTATAGTTTGGTCAAACAGAGCTCCTAGTCTCATCTTTTATTTTGTTGTTGTAATGTTAAAAAAAAAGTTTGAGAATTGAGCATTGTATAGGAGTGTTTTAAATTTCTTCTTTTGGTTTCACACAAATTCTTGGTTATTGACTAGAAAAAATAAAATACATAATTTGATCTTCTTATCAACATTTTCAAACCATCGAACTTTGCTCTACAATCTTCTAACAAATAAGTTATTCATTTTGGAACTTCCATTGTGTTAAACCAGTTACGTAATACTATTAAATTACATTAATTTTCTTAATTTGTAACGACCAAAAAACAAAAGAGAGAAGAAGCAAAGGTTTTTGAATTCAAAAAAAGATGGGTCGACATCAAAGGACCAAAGACAAGAAAGCTCATGGGAAATCCCCACTTGGCTTTCTTCTTTTTTTGACCCCATTTATAATGATAATAATTCTTGTTCAAGAAAAAAAAACAAAAGGAAAATTCCAATACATTTTCTTAAAAGAAGGATGATTCAACAACAAAAGAAACACAATTTAATTTCGTCATAACAAACTTTTAAAGCGTTTCGGAAATTGTAGGTCCAAGAAACCTGACCTAACAAGAGCAAAATGTATCAATTGTATATCTAAAAAGAATCCAAGGAAAAAAACTTAAAACATTTAAAAATATGTGTTCCTCCTCTCTCTCTCTCCTCTCAAGACATTGTGTGGAATGCACTATCAGAAGTTTGCAGCAAAAGGTTTTATTACATTGACAGAAAAGCAAAGACATAAAGAAAGATTCTTTGTCTTGTTCAAAAAGGTAAACATTTCATGAGAAAAAAGAGAGCATTAGGTTGAGTAGGTAGAGAAAGACGAACGAGTAGTTGAATCTTAACCATCTATACAATGGAAACTTGCTTTGAAGACTAAAAGATACAGTATATAAAAACCATTATGATGACATAACACTGGGTACTTATTAGAACACTGTTAAATTAGTGCCGTTCAAGTGTAAATCATGTCAAGGTTCGTAGATCAGTAGATACAATGAAGATGAAAAATGAAGGTAAGATTTTTCTTTCACTAAGTTCACTTCAACTAGAGGGGCCTGATATCTTGGGTAGACAAAGGCACGCTTTGACGCATTGTTCTTGAATCATAATTTTCCGACTCTACTAAAACATAACATGGCTTCTTGTCGTCAACAATTATAATGTCTTTCTATGTCTATGTTTGTACCTTGCTACTGTAATAATCTATGAAAACAAAAACTTTACAAAGACAAATTTCTTTACAACAGAAGAAGAGGTATATAGTGATTTTGACTACTGTAAAGTTTGAATCTTGATGTTCCCCAATCTGTTCAGGTGTTTCCCCCAAGACACTAAACATTTTCCCGGGGAAAAAGGTTGATAGATCAGTTTGAAAATTGAAACTTTTCCCGGATTTTCCTGGGGAAACAGAGCCATTCGAAATCGAATATTCGATCACACTTCTTGGCGGTTACTTTCTAACTTCACTCAACGGATATGATACCAGAGAAATTGGAACTTTCCCAGACCTCAACACCTTCCATAAACTCCCGAGAAACAAACAACCGATCACCTCCGGCTTCGATTTTCGAAATCATCCCTCTCTCGGAATCTTCTTCCTTGTCTACAAAGTTTCTTCTGTACAACGACTCGCTGCGAATTTGATCACCAATTGTCTTCTCTTTCACACTTGACCATACCTCTAATGCACCACCTCTCGCGGCCAACACTTGCTTTCTGTAACAATGCACGACGCTGTAACCGCCGTCGTCGCCGGACTTCCAAGCGCCGGGATTCTCGTCTGACATATATACCCATGGATCTTCACCTAATTTACGAAGGTCTGCCATTCCGAGATCACCTGACTTGGAACATACCTTGAAAAGAATCGAGTCTTCAACGTCCACGTCCATGTCAGCTAAGGAGTCTCCGAACCTGCTACTTCGTCCCGAGCCTGGCTCGTTCGTCTCCCACACAATGTTACTCGACCTCGGGTCCCAAATTCTGATGTAGCCGGAGCATCCAAACACTCCGCGTTGCACGGCGGATCCAATCAAAAGACCGTTCGTTGGCACAAATCGCAGTTTCTCCGGTACAGTGGTTTTAGCAGAGCTTCCAGGTTGCTGGCCGATGACGGCGGCGACTTGGAGAGTGGATTTATCGATCTGAAGAACACTGTTCTCTCTGTGAAGACACTCGAAGGAAGCGAACACTCCACTGGTGGAATCCGCAACGGCGGCGACTCGTGCCTTATGGATTCTCGGATCCTCCGGATCAGTCCAGTGTGTAGATCCGACGTATCTACCTCCGGAGAGATCGTAGAAGTGAAGCCCCGAAGCGGATCCAGATCCAATCGCCGCCGCTTCGTCCCACACACGGCAGATCGATGTGATATCATTGAGATGCGTACGGACTGTTCCAGAGTGAGAGAGACTCCAATCGTAGACGGAGATCTGTCCGCCGTGAGCGATCCACAGAGAAGAGTCTCCGGCTGTAGCGGTGAAAGCGGAGGGAATTCCGTCAGCCGCCGGTGTGATGGTTGAGACGAGAGAAGCATCGAAACCTAGAAGCGGCGGAGGCAACATCGCCGACCGGAGGAGTGACTCAACGCCGTAATACAGAGCCTCATCGAGTAGCTCCTGCTTAGAGAAAACTCCGGAGGAAGTAGCTGGGAGTGTTCTCGTACGGAGGAGATTGAGAATGACGGAGAAAATCTCCGGGTCACGATCGATGAACACAGGAATCGATCCATGAGAGGTTGGATTCGAGAGAGCCGCGAGAAGAGAGTCCGGGCAAGTTGATTGAATCGTCGATGCGTTGGTTTCGAAGATCTCGCCGCCGACGTTGAGCTTCACGCGGTCACCGTTGTCGGAAACCATCACATACCGGTTTGAGCTGCTTCGATTCAGCTTGAACCGTTTTTTGTCAATTTGGGCTGTGAGAAAATAATAATCCTAACTGATAACGTGTCAATATAAATGGGCCTGGGCCAATCTCTATCGAAGATTTCTCAGCCCAAACAAAAAAAAAAAAATCGTGAATTTCATTGGTAATTAGTTAATTACAGTTTACAAAGCTAACCTACAATGGAATTAACTTACAAAACGAAAAAAAAAAGTGTTACGAAACAGAGATTTTCTCACAAATTACGCAATTCTCTGAAACAATTGTATCCATAGTACTTCCTTGTTCAATTTCAAATTTACTACTAAACTTATTCCAAAGATGCAACCCGTAGCTTCTCTTCTGCATCTCACGAACCTTAACTTTGACTCTCTTCAAATCCTTCTCTGTTCTTGGAACCTTAAACAACTTCTCAATCTCAACCCAATTCACCGGATAAAACGCAGGAGGTGTCAATACAGTGAAGTTATAGCCATCGGTTCCTTCCACGGCTCGAGCCACTCGAGACACAAGATACGGTCCATTATGACCCCAAACATTCCCATTAAAAGTCAACGCAAATTCCTCAATGCATTTAAGCAACAGAGGATGGTTCTTGTCGAATACAAGAACCGCATTGTTCAGTCTTGTCCATTTTCTAGAAACCGGTTCGAGAGTTTGCGCACCGATTACATTCCTTAGAGATTTAAAGCTCTTTAGAACAATCATATCTGTATCCAAATAAACACCTCCGTATTTGAACAGATACGCAAGTCTCATGAGATTAGACAGATTCTGAGATAAAGAGATCTTTCCTGGTTCTCTTTTCCTTGTCTGAATCTCTCCAAGCCACGATTCTCCGGCAGTGTTCTTGAGCAGAAATGGTAAATCCGGCGTGATCGACATGACTCTGTAACCTCGAGCAAGAAACGGGCTCAAGATTGTAAACCCTTGAGTAGAATCCATTGTTGATGATAGTATAATCAAACAACCTCGAGGATGAGATTTGAATACGCTTTCGACTGATAAAATCTCTCTTTTACCGAACATTTCCGCAGGTGAGATCCATGTCATCATGAAATTGACTTCACAATCATCTCTTAAGAACTCTGTTGCTCTCTGTTGAAACTTTTCCGATATGCCTTCGCCTCCGAAAACCTCGAGAATTTGAAGATTGTTGTTATTACTAGTCATGTTGTTGTTGACTGTGATTTGCTGCTTGATTGGAAAGTTAGCACTTTCTTTCTCTGATTTTAGAGGTAAGTAAGGAACAACTGTCTTGATCTCTATTGTCATCACCTCTGAGAAATTGTCTCGCACCGATAAATTAGAGACGATAAGGATGGTGAAAACGATCAGAGCTATAAATGAGGCAGCAAAAGCTGTGAACAGTGATGAGCCGGAACGGTTTAACCGCCGGTGATCAAACATCGCCGTGACTTTCTTCGCGATTTCATGATCCATTTCTTT